ATCAAGAAACAGTCTACACGAGGCGCGCAGTTCTGCTTACCACTCCTCGCACAACAAACGTTGTCTTCTGTTCATGGGGACCACCGATCCTTTGTAACCCCGATTACGGGACTCGACCTGGCTGAACTTGCTATCCGTCGGCGATCTATGTATAGCTTACCTGTCGTTCGACAGATCATTCGACAAGTCCTATTAGGGCTCGAGCATATGCATTCGTGTGGGGTTTTACACTGTGGTGAGTCCGTACCCTTTCCAACTCTGGCCAGGCCATCTAACGGACCTTGTCTTTCTCGTAGATGTAAAATGTGACAATGTCGTTGTACGTTTGCCTGACGATAGCTTGGATTCAACTATAGATGAATTAATCGAGAATTCTCCATCCGAGAGCTACCCTCCAGTCACAGCGCCAGTTCTCTACCCTGAACCATATGTTACTATCAAGTCTCAACCGATAGTTCCTCTATGGCTCAAACCCGACCTGAGCAACCTTCAAGTCCAGCTCATTGATTATGGCGAAGGTATACCTTACCTTCTCGACATCCAAGCTCCGTCTGATGCGTTACTCTTAGCTATTCCTCTCGAAAATTTGAGTAGTATTAAATTCGCGGAGATACAGCTCGAAACACTTCGTGCCCCTGAGATAACATTAGGATGCACATTGTCAGAAAAGATCGATATATGGTCGGTTGGCCTCATGGTGAGTCCACCAACCTGATCCTGCTTGTAATGTTGTCCATCTGAAGAGGTCTGCAGGCAGCACATATCTTCACCAATGTCCATCCCTTCGTCGAGTCAGATGATAAAGAGCGCCTCTATCGAATGATTGAATATTTAGGTCCCTTTCCCGAATCCTTTTTAGCGCGTTGCTCTAGAAGCAAGGAATTCCTGGGTGCTGATGGTATGCAATTAATTTCCCTCAGATATAGCGCAAATGCATCGTCTTCACAGGTATTCCGGGCCAAATATACGATGGACGGGTTCTCAATGGAGAAATACCTGTGACTCGTAGTACAATGCCTCACAACACATTGCAGTCGGTCCTTTGCCCCACCCGTCTGGATGGCCCAGGTGTGCCCGAGTTCTTTGATTTTGTGCAGAGGTGTTTGACACTAGATCCGTTGGAACGGCCATCGGCCAGGGAGCTCCTGCTTGACCCATGGTTCGCCATGTAGGCCCTTCTCCATTGTCTATCTGTCCTCTGTCTTGGTCTTTTCTGTGGTGATCATAAACGTGCATATTTCCATGCCGTCGCGGACATAATGTTCACCGAATGTCATGTCGAGTTTATCATGTTATACATAGAATCATGTTATTGGAATTGGCAGATATGACCACTCGTTTGTGGGTTCGGAGAAACAAGTCCTGGCATGGCCAGGTAGAAAGGTTTCTCTCCAGTTCTTTGCTAGTATATCGGTTTAGTACACGCGCCTGTCAACGTCTTATTACCTTGACGCGCGAAAGCTGGGTTCGACTCCCAGGCAGAGAGATGAAGAGATCACACCTTCTTTTTACCTTTCAACTTGCCAGAGAAACACTGGCTGTCCAGCGCGAGGCTTGGAATCTATATACACATAATAGGCTATACGTAGTTGTCATGGCACAAGCTCTGTAAGGGTAATCTTGCACTGCTCCACGTCCGGAACACACTGGTAGGTTCCATCCACAACCCGTCAAGTCCCCGCAAATCCTTCTTGACCTACATCGAAGCCACATCTCTCTCCCGTCCTCGATCATCCCCATCCGCACCCTCCCCGCTCTTGACCCTCTCCCGGGTGATTTGACGACCCAGTCACAGAGGGGTACTCCATGCAACTTGAATGATGATGGACTATAAAAAACTCACAGTCCACGGCTGCAACGAAGGCAGGTCTGGGAGGGGTTCTGAGTATGCCACCGCAGGTGCCGAGCTCATTGGAGACGGTCTGTGTACGGGTCATGACCAAGGTTGGGCACTTTATCGTTGCTTGACCCTTGAATAACAAATGGATGTGCGGATCGGCAGACCCTGGACAACAACTCTGCCGAAGATTCGAGAGCCAATGCTGTAGTGGTAAACTTCTGTCGTTCTCGACATCTCTCGGCTTTCTTCCCTTCAATGTCTGGCCCAACGACTCTTTCGCTTGACGGTTACCGCCAATCCAGACATTTCTAGATCTGGGTTCGGCGTTCGAACCGCCATTTATGCGCAAAACCTCCTGAGCTTTGTGCCAGCAATCTAGACTCTTAGCTGGGCGGATTACACCCACAAACTCGACGAACTGGAGAAACAATCCACCATGATTCCCATTATGGCTTCATCTCGACCGTCTCATTAATCACGGCATTTCCGATCACTATGTCCTTGACCTCTGGATTACAGTAACAACATCAACCTGTTCATAAGTATCCTTCCTTCTCTACATAAATCTATCACCTTTGTAATCAGGCACACGCACGTTTGATGTCGTTGAATGCTCGATAAAGAACTCGGATTGATCATCTCTTAATCTCCTGACCATCATCATCTACATACTCCTCCTGCTCCACCACCCTCTCTAGCTCCACCGCCCTCTCCTGCTCCACCCTCTCCTCTCCTCTCATCTGTCGTGAGCCGAGCATAGAAAAACTTCTTGTCTTGCGTTATGAGTTAGGTACCGTGTACTCGAAAAGATACCAGAAAGAGTAAGTATGACTTGGCCGTTGCACTCAGCATACATAAGGCCGGACGACGATGGTATCCTGCTAGCAAAGCAATAACCTCACCCTCATGTCTCTTACTCGCACCGCGCTTGTCATTGTCCAGGCGGCATGTAATCACCACACCTGTACGCCACCGAACGCCACCCCGACCAAGGGACGCTATCATACTGAGGCGCCGTTCATCTTCCAGGTCGCGCCCTTGGTTTTCAAGGTATGGAACAATTCCTTTTCTGTGATCTGCAATTTACAAACGCCTTGAACAGATTATACGATACCTTGTCTGGACCTGTGTACTCTTTGAGACAATGTTTTGCGTGTACAACCTATCCCCGATTCCCTCTCCAATCGCAGTCCCTTCGGCTCTCATCTGTCCCTCCCCACCGTCCCACCCGCCCGTACACACTACCCCCTTGTTCGTGACTGGCGTGATCGCCGTGGTTCTTGGCACATACATCCGTTTTGACTGCTTCCGCACTCTCGGACGGCTCTTCACCTTTGACCTCGCCGTCGACCCAAACCATACCCTTGTGACGCAACGGCTCTACTCGTACGTCAGACACCCAGCGTACACCGGTTCCATGCTTGTTGTCGCCGGGCTTGCGTTCTCTCACCTTTCCGAGGGTGCATGGCTAACTGCGTGCGGGCCACTTAGAGTTCCTGGGTCGGCGGCTGTAATTTGGGTAGCTTGGTGGACGTGGACGTTTTGCGTTGCACTTAGCAGAGCAAAAGCCGAAGACAACCAAATGAGGGAGCTGTTTGGAGAACAATGGGTTCAGTATGCTATTGATACTCCCTGGCGGTTCTTCCCTGGTGTTTATTAGGCATACTTACCTTGATGGCATTTCGCCTTCTTTATACCGTTTCACTATAATTCTCATGCTTACTACCTGCCTGTTAGACCTGTATACTGCGCCTGCGCTCATATAACAACACGGAAATTTATAACTTCTTGCATACTTCAGTTGATTGTACCATATATTAAACTTGAATATATCGTCAAAACTGCTATGCTGCGTCAGACGCCTTGGACACAAACACGTTTGTGCATCACTTTACCAGTACTACGGCTCGTCCTCAAATGTGCCGCTTTACCAGCGCTACACCGACCCAATACGTGAGTCGGCGGTGGAATGTACGACTAACCGTGACAGGGTGCAACAGCCTCCTGGTCATCGTGCTCAGTCGAACATAACATGGGGAGAAGAGTACAGTACACAATAAGTTCTTTGCTAGTATATCGGTTTAGTACACGCGCCTGTCAATGTTGTTTAAGACACGTATCGTCTCGACGCGCGAAAGCTGGGTTCGACTCCCAGGCAGAGAGTTTGCTCTGTACAAATATCACTAGTACACTTTTTGACCATTTTACCCTTTTTGTCTTGCTGTAGAACCTTGTCGAGATGTACATGTCGGCCGCGGGGGTGAGGACATATGTACGTGTACATGGCTTGGTATATCAAGTTATGTACGTATGAGTCGGTGTAGGACAAGCTCTGTCAACACATGATGTCCCTGCGACTGCTCCCCGTGAAGAACGACTGTCCCGACTCAGTCATCCACGCGAACCTTTCCTCCGCCTGCATTGGATCCACGTCTCCCTATTCCTCGAACAATCGCACCCTCACCCTCGCCTCCCCCTGCACATGCCCCTCCTGACCCTCCTCTCCCGGACATTTCGACGGCCCACGTACCCCACCTCCATTCTGCATCCACTACGAGTCATGTGGCTATGACGAGACTTTGCGGGAGAGGGCTTCGCGTGAACCAAACACAACCACACTGCGCGTTCAATTGACCAGCCATGCCGCGGAAAGACGCACCGTCGGGGCCAATCTCGGCGCAGGCCCAGCAAGACCTCGTCTCTGACGGCATCGAGAACTTTGAGCTCCCCAAGAGCCTCGTCACCAAGATCGCCAAATCCGCTGTAATGCCTTGCTTTTTGACGGCGGTGAGAATGCTGACAGTGGACACGCATTAGCTCCCGGATAATGCGAAATTGCAGAAGGAGACTGTGTTGTCGCTCGTAAAGGGCTCGACGGTGTTTATCAACTACCTTGGTGCGCACCGTGCTTTTATTTCGTTTCGTGTGAATGTTTACGTTTACAACCGCACAGCTGCGACGTGCGTATTAGAGTAGAGTACAAGCCGCTCAGCGCGTTAATAACGATGATGAATGTAGAGCCCACGACGTCGCGGTGTCGAAACAACACAAGTCCATCTCCGCCTCGGACGTCCTCAAAGCGCTCGAGATGATCGAATTCGGCGATCTCGTCGAGAGGCTGCAGAACGAACTCCTCGGTGCGTATCGCACACACAACCTCTTCGCTGTATCCTAACTGAACCCAACAGTCTACCGCGCCAATGTCAAAACCGACAAAAAGAAAGCACCCGCGCAGCCATCGTCGCCCTCTGCCCTCGTGCCCGCACCCGCGTCCACGTCCACGCCAGAATCAGCCTCCGTTGCCTCCGCTGCCGCCGCCGCCATTTCGGCCTCGGTATCGGCCTCAGCTTCGGCGCCCCCCCGTCCCCCGGCGGCCAAGGGCAAGGCCAAAGCAAGGGAGCTCGGCGCGCCGTTCACCTCTGCGCCGCTCGGGCAGCACGCGCTGCAGGCGCAGCCGAACGAGATGGAGGTGGACTGGGAGGAGCTCGGCGAGGGTGCTGCGGTGTCGGCGGCGGCGTCGTCGATATCTCGTGCGGGGGATGATATGGACGACGGCGGCGAGGAGGGCCCGGATGATTTGGAGCAGGAGGAGCAGGAGGAGGACGAGGAGGATGAGGAGGATGAGGAGGGGGACGAGGAGGTTGGGGATGCGATGCAGCTCGGGGAGAAGGATCCGCGGGGGCTTGACGATGTGGATGGAGTTGTGAGAAATGGAGTCGAAAAAGCCAATGTTTGATTAATCGCGATTAAAACAATGTTTTCATAAGGCCAATGAGAGCCTGAGTCGCGAGAGGTCATGTGACCTTTAGCCTAAGAGGGCAATCGTAGTGTACTATCCTGCAGGGATACTTCACCTTGACGATTGTCCTCTAGGCAAGTATATATTTACATACAAAGATACTTCACATTGACGATAGTACTTTAGACCGTAGCGACTTTACTGCTTACTTGCTTCGTCTACCCGCCCACCACACCCTGTACTGATAGCCGTAACTTAGCCGAGATAAAGCCCCGGTAAGGCAACGAGACCGGCCGAAAAAAAGGCTCTCTCGACCAAGCCGTATAACTTCTTATTTCTGAGAAGCTATAAGCAGAAAAGTGCGGCTCATTGGTATTCTAGAGAATGAATCATTCAGTGCACGCTGAAAAAACGTCGCTTACAAGTTTGGAACTCTCTGCCTGGGAGTCGAACCCAGCTTTCGCGCGTCGGGAAAGTACTCGATGTCTAACATTGACAGGCGCGTGTACTAACCGATATACTAGCAGAGAACTTATTGTAAACTTCAATCTCACTCTGATGCCTACTGCCCTCATCGTCGGTGCGTCTCGCGGGCTGGGCTACGAGCTCAGCAACGCTCTCCACGCAGACGGATACCGGACATTCGGCACGACCCGCTCAGGCGCCAGCCAACTCCCGCCCGGCGTCGAGCGCATCAGCCCCATCGACATTGCCCACCAAGACGCCGGAGCAAAGATCGCCGTCGCCCTCGGCGACACCAAGCTCGACTTGGTCATCGTCAACGCCGGCGTCTTCAGGAAAGAGGTACGTGCGCACAGCGCCTGTCGCGCAATGACTGACTGACGCATGGCAGTCCTTTGATGCGCCGAACTTTGACGACGAGGTCGAGATGTACAAGGTCGTAGCCATCGCGCCCGTCTTCCTCGCGCACCATTTGTAAGCCGCCTCTCAGCACCGTCTCTGCGCACCACCTCACGTGTCTCAGGTACCTTACTGACCTGCTAGCCCCCAAGTCCAAGTTCATCCTGATCACGACAGAGGGCGCGTCGATCGCACTGCGCACAAAGGAAGAAGGCGGCGGCAACTACGGCCACCACGGGAGCAAGGCCGCCGCTAACATGGTCGGCAAGCTCCTCGCTAACGACCTCTACGACGCGGGGATCACTGTCGCTATGATACACGTGGGTACCCCGCTATCACCACCGCACCCCAGCTAACCGCGGCTCCTCCCCAGCCGGGCTTTATGCGCACAGACATGACACGGGGAGTCGGGTACGACCAGTACTGGGACTCAGGCGGCGGTACGTCCGTGGCTCACTGACTCACTAGGGCTCACTGGCTAACACCTCATCGTGTGCCCACTACACAGCCGTCGAGCCCGCCGTCGCCGCACGGTCCACGATTGATTTCATCGCGACGCTCACGCACGAACAGACCGGCTCGTTCTGGGCGCCGCGCGGTCCACGGTGCGTATTCCTGCGCCTCCTCTCGTGCCATAACTAACCACGTCGCGTCCCTAGGGACATTGGCGAGGCCGAGCGCGTGTTGGGGAAGAACCTCCCCACGCCGCTCGAGTTGCCTTGGTGATGTGGTGGTTCTTTCATCTCGTTCTGTTTCCGTTTCTGTTTCTGTTTCGTTTGTGGTTGCTTTTCGTCTGTGTATATTCAGGGTACAGCAATACACGCGCAGTTGTGTCCTTGAGTCTTGTACAGCAGAAGCGGTCCTGCGTTGGCCATTGAAGAAAGAAACTATGTGAACACAATCTCCAGACACTCAGCCTTCGTCACGGCCTTTGAAAATGCAAGGCCGATGATTCTGCATGCAGGCTGAATCGATGTAAAGCCCAACCTCAGAACAACAGGAACATTCGCAGCCATCCCGCGTCGCTACACGCCGAATCCCTTCTACTTATAATGACTAAATCCACAGCACTAAACGGCGATATGATAATCACCGAGCAAATTGACTTGCAACGTCGCGCGGAATGTAAAAAGTCAAAAGCACAAAAAAACCCCCGATCGTTTAAAACGGTTCCAATTCCAGAAAGAAGGTAAAAAGCCTGGAGACGATGTGCAAATTCCGTGCGGTACATCTGTATGCGTGTAGTGTCAGTGCGTGCGACCCATGCATGCAAGACATACACATAAGTTTACAAAGCTTCAGACATTCGGATCCAAATCCAACATGAGAGAAACACGCTCGCTGATAGGTGAGCGGAGGAAAAAGAAAATTGACCACGTAACATATTGCACATCTCTTTGCCTGGGAGTCGAACCCAGCTTTCGCGCGTTCAGTATCAGTGATTACGATGACAGGCGCGTGTACTAAACCGATATACTAGCAAAGAGGTGATTGTAAGCCGTAGGTTCAGGCTCAATATCAGCACAGTCGTCGCTACATCGTGAGCCTCATATGAGAATTCTAGTATCCATATCACTACTAAAGAGCAATATGGAGCAAAGATTAGTATATATCGATAAAGTACAAAGACAGTCCCCAACTTAAAAAGAAGAAAAACTGGAGGATGATGTGTAAATTCCGTTGCCGTGCGGGTGTGTGTGACCCATGCAAGGCACGGCATAGACATTCCAAACAACAAACACCCCGATAGAAAATTCAGAGAGAGGGAGAGAGGGAAGAAACACGCTCGCTGTTAGGAGAGAGGTGGAAAAACATCAGTCAACACGAGTATCTCTCTACCTGGGAGTCGAACCCAGCTTTCGCGCGGCCACTAGATGGAAGATGGACATGACAGGCGCGTGTACTAAACCGATATACTAGCAAAGAGGTGATTACAGAACGTACTTTCAGGCCCAAGGTCAGCACACTCGTCGCTACATCGTGAGCCTCCTACAAGATTTCTGGCATCCATATCACGACTAAAGAGCAAGATGATAATTACCGAGCAAAGATATAGGTTAGGTTAGGTTAGGTTAGGTTAGAATTACCCGGGGAGGTCCACGCATGAACGACCGGGGGCCGTACTACATACATTTGGTCGCGTACCAAGTATGCTACGGACATCTCCCCCCTTCGAGTGCTGTGAGGACCCAACACACCCTTGTCCCCCATAGAATTCCCACTGAAGTCTACGATATTGACCTTGTAACAAAAACGGAGAATGCAAACGTTTATCATGTAGACGATATCGTGAAGATTGGAAGGGGTTTGAATGTATGTCGATAAAAGTATACAAAAAGACAATTACCAACCTAAGAAAAGCCGGAGGATGGATGATATGCAAATTACGTTGCCGTACTGTATAGTGCAGTGTGTGTACGGCACAGACATTCC